AAATTTTTTCTCATTCCTCAAAAACAAAAAGTATTCACAGTAAAATTGAAAAATGCGAAAATGTTTGAAAGAATTCATCGAAATGAAAGATCAATGACCAGTAACAATCATGCTCTTACACACAGGCAATTAGAGATGAACACCTTTCAACAAGCATACTTCAGATACCTACTTAATCTTTTGGCATAATTAATTCGACTGTACTCTTTCAGTATTTCCGCATTTCATTTTCTTCCTTTCCACCCTTTTTTCATGATTTCATGGAAGTCTTCGGTACTATTTATTTTTCGGTCATGGAAAGAGAATCTTCTCTATAGTATGAGCTATATGTCACTCCTTAACGTAGCACTAGGTTTATGAACATTTAGGATACTATTCATCTAGCTGCAAAATATTTTATATTCTACTTAGAACATTTAAGAGTTTACAATAACAGAGAAAACAAAGTTTTAGCAAGCACGAAAACTTATACCTTAATCCGTATTGTATGAGACTAAAGTTATAACTGCTGGAGTGTCGCTTGAAGGCTATAGTGATGAGGATATAATTATTAGGATACAGACATAAGGATATGGATGTAAGAATATAGGCATAAAAATATAGGTATAAGCGTATAGCTGTAAAGATATAGTTTACAAATTATTAATATCTTTGCATTGTGTTTAATGACTATATCTGGATTTATTACGCGTTTGCTTGCCCAATAATGTGCTAAGAAGGGCAGACAATAGATTTTTGACCATTGGTGTCAGAAATCTTAATATTTATTGCATATTTAACAGATGATAGTAAATCGAAAAGAGAACAACTACTGAAGCTTAATGATTAAAATCCGATCAGATCTTATCGAATCTGTTAAGTTTTGTTGTAGAATTCAATAAAACCTTGTCGGATCATTTCATTGGAACTTGTTGGATCCGATCGAATCCGACAAGATTCAATGGTCGAATTTTTCGACCTGAGTTGTTCTAGTTTGCATTTTATTAAATTAACGTAACGATTAGATATTGAAATTGAAAGCAATATTGTTACGTTACTTAAATGGTGTGATCTAGATTATTGTAGATGTTGACATCAAGAGCAATGCTAGATATGTATGGATTGATTATTATCGGTAATAGTGGTGTGGGTAAGAGCTTTTTAGCTAATATTATTCTTGGTAAACATCATTTCAAGCATGATTTTTCTGCTCGATCTGTAACACATCGAACTGAATCAACAACATGCATATTGGGTGACAAACATTATAGAATTTATAACATTCCTGGTTTGATTGAAGGTGACGAAGAACGTATCGCTCTAAATAGACGTGAAATTAGCCGAGCATTTGAAGAACAGAAAGAACATCCACTTGTTGTTATTTA